GAGGGGGGGGGGGGGGGGGGGGAGCTCTGCTGGTCCAGGTACAGGAGGAGCGGAGAGGCCAGGCTGAGAAGATGCAGAAGGGCTCAGCTGGATTAACAGATGTGGAGAGGGCGTCAGGGTCAACGCGGGAATGAAGTGGGTGTGAGGGCGGCAGTGCCTCAGGCCCCAACCCGCCCAGGAACCTCGCCTCAGGATGAGCACTGAGGTCCAGTGGTCTTTCAGCCTCGCACTCCAGTCTACCCGGCAGGCAGAGCAAGGCACGTGACTGCCCGCGCATGCGCCTCCGGACAGACGTCACCGGAAGGGGCGTAGCCGCGGCCGAGGCAGGCCTCTTCACACCCTGCCTTGGCTGTTACGGCGAGGCAGAGAATTATTGGCCCGCATTCTGATCTCGGATCCAATAGCAGAAGTTTGTTTCCACCAGGTATTGCGGCACCCGCCTCTAATCCCAGCATTCGTGAGGCTGAGACAGGAGGATCCACAAATTCCGGGCCAGCCTGGGCTACATAAAGAGTTGAACAGGCTGCACTACAGAGCAAAACCCTCTCTCAAAAATCAAATAGAAACACAGTGTTTCCCTTGAAGCCATGGCATACACTGCTTAACACTTGTTTTCCCCAGAAGCGACAGCTGAGCAAGAGTTAACAATGAAAATGCACTTTGCAGTCTTAGACCTAGCCACTGAGTAATGGGAGAGGGGTAGGAGGTCCTGGAGGACTTCCTAGAGGAGGTGGTACTTTAGTCTTGAGTAGACGTGAATCAAGGACCGAGTAGTTCAGAAACAAGGCTGTTGCCAGAGGCCCAACTGGAGGGAAAAGCCGGGAAACGGCCACTGCCACACATTCTGTATTACCACAGCAAGACCATGATGTGGCTGGCAAGGCCAACAGGTTCCCTGCAGTCTCCTCCTGGGGCCGTGGGCTCTTTGCACAGGTCAGTTCCTGCAGGTCTCAGAGTCCATGTTACATGACTGTCTTCTGCCTTCCAGATAAAGCATTCAAATGCTCGGATGCTGTGGAACTCATGTGGTAGGGTGAGATAGGAGACAGTGGGGAACAGGAAGCTGTATTAGGACCACAGGTTCCAGGACAATGGAACTTATAATTAGCACACCTCTTCCCACAAATGAGTTCCAAACCAATTGAGAAAAAATGCAAAATAGTAGCAGGAATCACTTGATTACTGACAGGCTAGGTGAATGACGTGACTAATATCAGTGGTCTGTTAGCTTCTCTAGAAGCAACTCCAGAATTCTTCAGATTCACCATCAAACTGCTGGCATCCTGGACCACCAAAACTTCATGTAGGGCCTACAGCTCTAAAACTTAAAACAGAATAGTAGAACCCAGGGCTTCCAGCAAGCAACCCAACCCTCAAATGAAAATGAAGTACACATGCCTAGTTTCCTTCTTCCGTATTTGATAAATACATACATAAATCTATGCAAATCTCCTGAGGCATGAGGTGTTGCAGGAACTCCAGACCAGAGACCAAAGGGTGAAACAGGTGGAAATTCTTCAAGTGTATACTGACCCAGCAGACCCTCATCCACAGGCTAAGCCCTAAACAAAGGAAGGGCTCCAGTTTTATACACTCCTCCAAGGGCGTTATTCCACCTAGTGGTGCCTAGCTTGGGGGTGGGCAAGCAGAACAAAGGCCATTTGTCAGCTGTGACAGTTTTGCAACTTAACATATCCAGGGGCCTTGGTCAGGCAAGAACATGAGAACAGGAGGTTATAAAACTTTATTTACAGGGTCAAATTCCTGATTTTATCTGTACTAGAACAAAGAACAGCCATATTGCTTAGGTTGGGGAAATGTTTGTCTCTTTAAGTACCGCTTCAAGGAAATAGTTCATCTTCCTGTACATGGAAGAAAATATCCAGAGTGGTAAAGCATTCCCCCCTTACACTCCAACACTCCCCATCTTTTCATTTCCACCCCCTAGGCTTAACCATTAAAGCCACAGAGGACCAAAACAGTATCACTCCCAGGAGCCAACTGCTGTTCCTTTGGTTATCTTCCTGGGATTACTGGATTTACCCCAAAAGGCTCAGAGGGGTCAGAATACATGGAAAAGGACTGGGGTGGGGCTGAGCAGGGGAGCATTGCGTGGCACTCTGAGGCATTGGGTTTAAGACCCAGCAAAACGGGTGGGGAAGCATCCATTAACGACACCTCTTAAGGCTTCTGTAATCCCAAGTATGAAAACCCACCCCACTTCCCACCCCAGAGTCGGCCCAGCCACATGGTTTTACCTGTCACAGCCAAATGCCAAATCTAGAAAGAATCCCTCCATCAAATTTATAGGTAGAAATTTTTAAAAGGTAAATCTTGCAAACCAAAATCCAAAATGTTAAACCCCAACAATTAAAATCCAAAACTAAATTCACTATCTTTGTGAATTAGGTTTAAAAATCCAACATTCTTAAAGGCCAATCTTCCCTAAATTCTTATTCTACTTAACCAGAAGGAAGCTTGGTGTGGAAGTGCACACCTGTAATTCCAGCACTCAGGAGAGTGAGACAACAGGACTGCTGAGTTCAAGGCCAGCCTGAGCTACAGAGCAAGACCTTGTCTCAAAAACAAACAAAAATATATAAATAAGTAAATCTTAACCAGAAGGGGTCTTTATGCTTGGTGAGAGGTAGGGTCCGTTCAGCAGTCACAGCCTTGGCCATTACTCTTAAGAAAGTGATTTTTCTTTTCTTTTTAGGGCCTCAGAAATTACAAACCAAGTGTGGTCCATACACTGATCATCTCAGCACTCTGGGAGGCCAAGGCAAAGGATCACAAGTTCAAGCCCAGCTAAGGCAACTTGGCAAGGCACTAAATCAGTTTTAAGAGCTGGGGATGTATCTGTGTGAAGCCATGGGACCAACCCCCCAGTACAGAAAAAACTTAAAAAGTAGCTTGTAAATTAAAATGTAGTTCCTGTACCATAAAAATCACCCTTTTAAAGAAATCAGTGGGTTTTAATACATTCACAGAGTTGTGCAAATCACCACTAATTTCACATTCTGAACCTAAAAAAAGCACCATATCTTTGGCATTCACTTTCTTTTCCCTACCTAGCTCCTGACAACCACTGATTTTGTCTTTGGACTCGCCTATTTTAAACAATTCACATAAGTGAAATCACATGGTTGTCTGTCTGGCTTCTTTCACTTAGCACAAAAGTTTTGAATTTTGTGGAAGCCTAACTTATTTCTTTTGTTTGCAGTTGCTTTATTTTTTGAGACCAGAGTTAAATGGAAACAAAAGACTCACCAGTCCCCGCAGGAAATTTAGAAAAGTCAATCCCCAACTCCTATCCCCAGTGGTCCTCCCAGGTACAAAGTCTTAAAACCCAAAACTGAACAATGCCAAAAAAAAAACCTTCACTATAAGACATCAGAGTTCTAACTGAATTTTCGAAGCAGTTATTTCAGGTGTTTTAAGTGCACCTGTTCAAAATCAAGGTTCATCAATGTGCTTGAAACAACTATTTGAGAATCAAATGGCCAAATAAATGACAACACAAAAATGACAGGAATGCAAGTAACAAAGTACAATCTTTGTTCCACTGGCTACTACTGTACCATAATAAATAACAATTAACCAAAAACATCTTTATTTTTCAGTCTTCAAGGAACAAACTCCTTTTCTCTTTTTCCAAGATAATCATGATTAACTTAGAAAAACGTGTATACATTTTCAAAGCATTTCCCTTTAACGGGAAAATGAGTTTTATAGAATCCAATCATTAAAACATTAAAAAAAATTCTGTTCTCTTGCCATCAAAAGACAAAACAATCTAGCCTAAGTTAAGGAAATCCATTCATACTTCAGGTCCTTCTCCTCCAGGAACCAGCTGCATTGGAGAAAAAAATAGTTTATTATTAATGCCACGTCACCTAAAAACCTAGAACTGTCCATCAGCCAAAGCCACCCCTGCCTCTCTCTCCCTCTCATATATTACCATCTTCTCCAAGTCATTCATATCTGTTCACAATGCCTATCATCATCAATTAGTACTTGAGTGTCTTGACAATGACTTCTAACAAAATTAAAGACTAAAAAGCCCAAGCTAACTAATCTTCAGGTTCAACGCCTTTTCAAAAGTTCAGTTTTAGGGCCTGAACCTTCACAGAATCCCTTACCTGTCTTAAACACTACTGGCTCATGAGCATTAAAATGTAGCAAGTACAGCAGGACAAGTTAAGTTTTGTAATCCCTAGCCCACAAAAAACATTTACATAAAACAGCTTTTATGGGGCCAGGTATTTAGCTCAGAGGTTCCACCGCCTGCCTCACAAGCACACAGACCCAAGTTCAATCCCCAGTACCCAAAAAATAGCTTTTATGTATCTTACCATGGTTATATTATTTCCATTTAGCAAGATCTGATCTAATTTAGTAATCCTCCTTCCTTCTGGTGTGATCTCACTAAATGAAGAGATAAGACAGGATAAACAGGTAATCAAAACCAACGTTTTGGAAATACTTCTCTCTAAAAAGGTTATTTGTGGAACTAGGGCTATAGCTCAGTGGTAAAGCATGTGCTCAGCACATACAAGGCCATGTGTCCAATTCCCAGCACCAAAAAGATCATTCTTGCATATGAATTTGAGGTGAGGCAGTTATATGTGTACTTTTCAGAGACGAAGGTAATGCATTCTTCATCAAAGGCAAGACAGTAGATGGGCTAGCCTATGACCCACATATTGAAGCTCTTTGTAAAAAGAAGCTAGCACTTTGCAAGATCAAATATGAAACAAAATGTCTGGATGCCTCAGTCTTTCTCTTTAAACTCATCTACTACTACTGATTCTTATCCATTAAACCAATGCATAATCGATTTTGAAAATAGAAACACTAGTTGTAAGCTTTATAATTAATATAATTGAGCCATTGTTTCCATTTTATGTCACACAGTTAAATTCACTTATCAGTTCTTTGATTTGTCCTGAGCCCTAAAATTGCTGTTTTTAGTATCTGCTACTTTACAGCTTTGTATACACTACTTTCCTAGCAATTTAGCAATGATTATATTAAGGTATAACCTGATCCAATTTTACAAGTATCAGCAAATAAAATTTTTCTTCAAGTAATCTAATGGGAAGTGTTTTCTATCAATCATTTTAACAACTCAATTGGAAGGTTCCCTCAATTCTTTAATTTTTAATACTACTTACAACTCAGTGACATCTTCCAGCACCATATCTGAAATTTGGTATTAAGAAAATAAATATGCTATATTGAATTATGTTTTAATTATGCCTAATCAAATTATGTTTTAATTGTCCCTAAAACAATGGCTAAAATACAAAAAGCTAGCCAGGAGTGGTGGCACACACCTGCAATCTCAGCACTCAGGAGGCTGAGGCAGGAAGATTGCCATGACTTTGAGGCCAGCCTGGACTACACAGCAAGTTCTCAAAAGACAAAACAAAATAGGGCTGGGGATTTAGCTCAGTTGTTCCATCACCTGCCTCACAAGTGCAATGTCCTGAGTTCAATTCCTGGTACAAAAAAAAGAAAATTGTTGTTAGGAACTTAATCTTTCAATACACATACCTCTTAAAACTATCACAAAGGACTGGGGGTATAGCGTAAAGGTAGTGTTTGCCAAGCATGCATGAGGCCTTGGGTTTGATCCACCAGTACAGTAAAAACTATCACAAGTTTCCTTAAAATGACTTTTATTATAATGAACATATTGATTGTGTACAAAAAAATATTTTTTAAAAAAAACCTATGCTACCACCACTTTTTAAAAGGATACTGACAAAGTCATCAAATCCTAGAAGGGTACCAACAATTTCTTTGTCACTTTTCATCACGATGTGAATTCTTGATCCTATACACTTGTCCACGAGTTCTATGGAGAGAAAAAAAATTTTATCTGTTATTTCAATAAATAACTGGAGTTTCTCCTTGTAATCATTATTTGCATATGACCAAGACCTAAGATCTAAAGGTCTTTTCTTAACAGAAAAATTTTCCTTCACTTTCACTTACCTCTTCTTTGTAGCGGTTGTGGCTTTATCCTTTACATGAGTAATACAGAAAAGACACATAACACTCCTCCCTAACTCCATTAGGGCAGAGTCTACGGTTATTTTTGCTCATAATTGTTTCCCCGATACACAGTATATGGCATATACGGGGGACCCCAAGAATCTGCCATATTCAGGAGTGAAGTTTTCAACTGCAACCACATCCACGAACCAAATCACTCTTCAGCTATGAAACACTAGGGGGAAGGGGCATAATTATCTTCGCTAGGAACTTTTTCTTGTCACTTCCTCCCCTTTTCCCAGGAAGTCTATCTTCTGCGCTGATAACAGCTTGCACATCTTTAGCCAACTCAGCTGCGCTATTCAGCTTGATGTTTACTGCTGTGCCGTTTAAAAATCAATGGCTGGGGTTTAGCTTCGTTGTTGAACTGAGCCCAGCCACGCTATGCGAACTGCTTGTAGGATGGATGGTCAAATGGATGAAAAACAGAGCCGGCTTTTAAGTTTCTTTGTGGACCGTGGCGCTACTCTCAATCAGCCAAGCATATGGCAGACAGCTCTGAGCGACTGAGAAGGCGGCCGCTGCCCC